TTCAAGAAAAGTAGATTCTCAACAGTGTAGAGTCAAAAGCAGATCCATCGAAAGCAGATTCTCAACAGCAAAAGTAGATATAATTCTCCAGAAGAAGACATCAACAGTTCAGCAATAATTCACGTCATCTTATCTCTAAAGCATCTTGAATCTCAACCATCCATGTAACATCTTCAATCTCAACCGTCGATTCATCCCTCTTTTCTGCTATAAAAGGAGCCTTTCTGCTCAAGTGAAGATCATCGAGTTTTAGAGAAAACAAGTCTCGAACCATCAAGCATCCTAGCCTTCAGTTTCTAGTGTGTTTTCTTTTGTGACTTCCTTCAGTATATTTCCTTTGTAACATATAGTGTGAGAGTGTATCCATGTATAAACAATGTGTATCCATGTATATATTTTTCATGAAATAAATCATTCAGTTTATTTCTGTTCAACAACTTTCTTTTCCTTATTTAGTATTTTCAGTACTTTCGGGCAAAAGACTTCCGTCGACAAATAAATCAAATATATGGATTTTATTTAGCCAGACAGTGTAGATCCTAGAATTTTCTTGAATCCAACCAGTACAAGCAGTCTTAGTTTTAATTTATCAATTTCTTCTGTGAGTTGACTCGAACTGTTGGCTTGTTGGCCCAATCTTTGTTGGTGTTTAGGCGTTTCTATAGGGCGTTATCAGAGCGTTATCAGGTTCGGCAGTCATTTCTGTGATTTAATTGTTAAATTGATTCTTTGTTATTTTGCCTACTTCTATTTGGTCGGATCCATCTCAATTTTGGTATCAGAGCCATACTATTTCGTTAAATTTAATTTATATATGCGATCTTTTGTCTAAAGAAGTCTATAAGTCTTTATTAAGCTACTGTATAATTTATCGTGAAAAATTAAAAAGAAAAGAAAAAATATTAAATATTTTTTAAAAAAACATTGCTGTACTTTTATTTCATGATCTAAGGCTTTTTGTTATATTAAAATATTACTTTGGGTCATTTTAGTAATATAAGTTCTTTTGTGATATAAAGTATAAAGTGGAATCCATTTTGGAGAAATATTCTCTAGGTCAATCCTTTTAGTGAAAACTAAGACTTAACATCAAAACTGTGAACACAAATACAATATCAGTAACTGAGCTAACCTGCTGGATTAGACTATCTTATTAAATTTAAATAACATTATGTTGCTTAAATCAGTTTATTTATTTAGTTGGCTTAAATCAGTATTTCACATGGGAAGAAAAGTTCATTACGACTCTAGGATTGGAGGAATAATAGCAGACTATTAAATTCATGTTTTAACAAAGGTAAAGATTTTTGTTTTTGTTTTTTGTTTTTTTTAAATGTTTTTTATATGCCGTTTTAAAAAACCTAAACAAATGAGTCAAATGACCATCGATAGGTCCACTACTTACTTTACTTGCCAAGCACACAAACAGACAAGGACAGTTACTGATGAAAAATTCCAAAGACTTTCATCAAATTTCATGTACACGCTAAGGCTGCTGCTGAGTATACATTATTCAAATTAAGAGTGTGATTTAAAAATGAGATTTCAATGACTTATCTTTCGAATTACTGCTAACACCGCTATGTTCTGAAGGCAAGTAAATCATTTAATTAATACATCTTAAATTCATGATTTATATAAAAAGGGAGCTTTCTTAGTGAAAAAAAAAAAAAAATCAACTAACATGACGAATAATAATTGTAGTCAAAAATATATATATATATATATATATATATATATGTGCTAAATGAATGAGTATTAAAAGAAATATAAGAACAAATATATATATATATATATATATATATATATATATATATATGTTTATAATATTTTTATTAAAAAAAGAGTATTGCTATTTATCCCGACAAATAAAAACTTACTACTTCACAGAATCTATGAGGCTATCTATGTGTCCACTATAATGGGACACATTTTAAAAATATAAGGTAATTAATCATTTGAAAAGTTATAGTCCATTTTTTAGGTTTCATCTTAATATAGTATCCTTATTGGCGATTAAAGTTTTAGTCACAAGGTATATCAAATTGTATGTGTTTTATATATACATCACATTGCATCTCTTTAATGCATAGATACTTAAATATTGCATCTCGTGTATATAATTAGTTAGACATTTGTTCATTGCTATAGTAATCAAAACTAATGATTTATGTGACTCCAGAAACAAAGAGAGGAATTTAAAGAAAAATTGCAAAGCATTGAAAAATTGAAAAATATTGCAGTTTTTGTTTTAGATTTTGTACCAATCAAATTCTTTTATTTGAATACTATGAAAGATACTGTGAAAACGAAAAAGAAGATGATACGGTTATGAAAAACTAAAAAAATAACAAATAGAAATAGTAATGATACTTATTTAAGTTGAAATTTAATAATAACACATTATATTTTTACCTCGGTCAGTTTTAAGTCGGGGTATGAAAATCGTTAAAAATATAATTTTTTTTTTTAAAAAAAAAAAAAAAATTACATACTGCATATAAGTAATACTTAAGTGTAAAAGGAAAATTTTGAAAAAGTATGAAAAAAAGAGAAGAAAAAGGAAAGAAAAAGGAGAAATTTGAAAGAAAAAAAAAAATAGAATTTGATTGAAGAAGAGAAATTTAACATTTTTTAAGGAAATCAAAAGAATCTGAAAAGTAAAAGGAAAAAAGAAAAAAAGAAAAAAAAAATTAAGAGGTAATTTTAGAAATTAAAAGTTTAGGGGCATTATATAAAAAATTTCCATATATACATAAAAAAAAAAAAAAAAAAAAAAAAAAAACCATATATGGTAGTGGGCAGGCTAGGGACATGTGCCCCTCAGGCACACACTTATATATATATATATATATATATATATATATATATGAAAGAGAGATGATATCATTAAATATGATATGACGTTATTGCCCACTCAAATAAAAAATACCTCCCTCAAATAAAAAATAAAAAGAGTCAAGTATGCTTGACTCTTAAATTTCTTATTATTTTGGGTAAAGTACACAGACACTCTCTGAGGTTTGCTTAAAGAGCACCCAGATGAAAGTTTCCCAATTTTGAGACAATGACACTCCCTTATGAAATTTGCAAGCCAAACATAGCATTAAAACATGTGACAAATCAATTTTACCCCTCCCTATTTTATTAATTTTAATTATAAAATATCAAAATAATTAAACGACCAAATTACCCTTTTTCATCTTTTTATATATATATATATATATTATATAACAACACAAGCACCGCGGGTGGACATTAGGGCTTCGGCGCTGGAGATGGAGAGGTTGAAGAGGGTGGCGGTGGCATTTTCTTGGGAGATTGGAAAGAGAGAGTAGAGGGTTTCGGCGATGTAGGGTATTGTGCCCTCGTCAGCGATCAGATATCGACTTTTCCGGGTCGTGTTTGGAGATGAGACTAAGGTCGCAGAAAGCTTCGGTTCGAGTTTATTCCGATGCTGAGCTCAGCTTCGCTACCAGAGATCTCGCCGTTCGGCGTTTGACTTCTATTTGGAGCTTCTCTCTCCAAAGCTCGAGTTCTTCCCTTTTCTGAATCGTGTGTGTGTATATATATATATATATATTGATTCTGGGTTTTTCTTCTCTCCTCTTGGTGCTTTGTTACAGTTGAAAATATCTAAAATTCAAAGAATTAAGATGTATACTTTATCTTTTCGTTCTTACTGAGGATATTGATGCTGCTAAACCTTAGATTGAATACTCTTTGGCTCAAAGCCTGCAATTTTGATTTAAAACTGGTGCCTGGTTAAGGCAGCAAAGACATAGGCCATAAAGCAGTTCAAGAGCGAAAATCTGATTCTCGCCAGCCACTTCTTAAAGGTGCCCCTGCTAGAGCTATGTCTGATGGGTTTTGCTTCTCTCTCTAAAACAGAGAAGTAAGTTCTTCTACTTCGATTACTTTCTCTCTCTACATGTATCTATGCGGCGGCGGCGGCGGTGGCTGAGGGGTGATGAAGATGTAGTGTATGTGTCTATACATACACAAACACATACAGAGAGAAAAGGGGAGAGGTTCTCTACACGGGGGGAGAGGTTCTCTTCACAGTCGGGTTTGGGTTAGGATTTGAGATGGGTTTGGGTTTGGGTTTGGGTTTAATACAAGGGTATTTAAGGCAATTAAAATGTAAATTTTATATCAAAGGGTAATAAGGTCAATTCACCATCTTCAGGGTCTTTTTGTCCATTTTTTAAACTTAAAGGGGTGTTATTGTCCAAAAATTGACGAACTTTCACATGCAGGGTCTTTCCCCAAATCTCGGGGGTGTCGGTCTAGTTTACCCTATTTTCTTTATTAGTTAATATTTTTTTTCTATTTAAAAAAGTCTAGATGGTCATACCAACGCGGTTTTATATAATAGCATCCGAGATTCCGAGCGCTTGTGTTTGCTCCTTCAGAAAGAATATAGAAAGAGAAACAAAGTCATACAGAAAAAGACATACATGCATGTCTTCCTATGAAAACCCCTAGCTTCCATCTACATATCTTCCTAGTATTTTCCTGTCACACAAGAAAAGACATGTACATGCATATCTCCTATGAAAGCCCCTATAATTGATCTACATATCTTCCTAGCATTTTCCGAATAATTGCATATATATATATATTGCATATATATATACATACATGCATGTCTTCCTATGAAAACCCCTATCTTCCATCTACATATCTTCCTAGTATTTTCCTGTCACACAAGAAAAGACATGTAGATGCATATCTCATATGAAAGCCCCTATAATTGATCTACATATCTTCCTAGCATTTTCCGAATAATTGCACATATATATATATTGCATATATATATATATATATTACACTCGAACTTCTCACCTCTTTTTTGAGAAATGAGAGGTTATACATTTGTTAATGGTCCATTGTGGGTCTGGTAGGCAATTTTGTCATTACATGCAGAGAAGTCACTATTGCACCAAGACTTACCCTCATCTATTTCAACTATATAAAAATTATAATAATTTCTCAAATTAGGAAACACGGAACAGCCCGTGAAAAACCAAAATAACTGAGAAACCAAAAGGACACGTTTTAGAGCGAGGCATATAAATAATAGTCCTACATTACAAGCCTATATATTGTCATACTACCCTTTATTAGAATTGCAGTCAAGTCTCTAAACTCCAATCCTCCCCATGAATGAATTAGGTATGTTCATTTTACTTCTTTTGTTCTTCTTCCATGTCAAAGCACAATCTCCCAGCTCTGAGCAGGACACGCTTTCCCAACATCCAACCAGTTTTCAACAAGCGAACACAACATTTATCATTGGTGTCCTGTGTGTCATGGTTTCACTAATATTCATCCTCCTTGTCTTTGCAAAGTTCCGTCTTGTGTCATCATCTGTTGATAACAATCAACCAACTCAAGATGGAGTACTTACTCAATCAAGGACTCGATTCTCCGGAATTGATAAAACAGTGATTGAGTCTCTTCCTTTCCTCAGATTCTCTTCACTCAAGGGGTCAAGGGAAGGACTTGAATGTGCTGTTTGCCTATCTAAGTTCCAAGATACCGAAATTCTTCGGTTACTGCCCAAGTGCAAGCATGCCTTTCACATCAACTGCGTTGATCCATGGCTCGAGAAGCACTCAAGCTGTCCTCTTTGCAGGTCTAAGGTCAGTGCTGATGACCTTACGTACTCCAATAGCTTAAACTACTTATGGAACCAGTCAGGGCAGCGACAAGACTCAAACATGGAGCTTCTTGTTTGCAGAGAGGAAGACCATCATGGTTTTTCAAAATTTAGAATTGCAAGCAGCTTTAGCAAATTTGAAAAGGGTAAAAGAGAAAAAGAATTGGCAATCCAAGAAGATTTTGATAGTGAGGATGATGAAAAAGGTCTGCATAAGTTGAAGAATAGATGGAGCAGTGTGAGTTCTTCTGACCTCATGCTCTTGAATTCTGAGATGCTTAATGCTATGCCAAGCTATAGATTCTCTTCCTTGGATACAAATATTGATCAATTCGTTACAGAGAGATCCATGTCAGAGATAACAGTTCATCCAAGATTCATAGAGTGGAGCATGGAAACTAGTATTAGATCAGACTCAACTCCTCCTGAAAATAATGTCAAGGAGGAAAGATTGAGGAGGCTTTGGTTGCCAATTGCAAGAAAAACAGTTCAATGGTTTGCCAATAGAGAGAAAAGGACACAACAGTACTCTCACAACACAAGACACTCACTAAATGTGTAGTTTTGCTTTGGGCACTTCAGGCCTGTTCTTATCAACTGCCAGTGACAAGTTTGAAACCTCTCATTGAAAACGTGTCTGTTGATCTTGTTTTTTTGTAAATTGATTTGTAAAAGCACTGTATATATATGTTTTATACATAAAATCCATCATGTTAAGTTGAAGTTAATTTGAAAAAGAAAAAACAAAATTCCTTTAATCCAACAACCAACAATGTTATCTTTCATAAATGTTATTCTAGCCCAAGAGACTCTCGACTCGATTCCACTTCAGGCCCACGTTGATGGCATCGGGTAAATGAATAGGCCCGATCAAGTCTCGGGTCTTAAAATAATTTCCAATTACTATTTCATAAAAAAATTATTTGTGTGTTTCCTGTTGCATGGGAAGCTCTCTCTGTCTCTCCTCTCTCAGTAGATTATGTAATTTATTTATTTATAAATTCAAGCAATTTTATATATTAGTGTGTGAAATATCAAATATGTAAAGTGTTGTGGGCTGGTTTTGGAGCACAAATAAAAATATCTGAGCCCCTTAAAATATCAGGCCCTATGGCAAACAAGCTCAAGTGGGTATGTTAAAAAATTGGCCCCGAATTAGACAGTTGTACACGTAAATAAAAATAAAAATAAAATTAATTCATTTATTTATTTGAGTTATTATTAGCCCACTATGTAAAAATTATATCAAGTTGAGGTATAGGTTGAAACATGGCTTGTCTCCCATCCAAAAATCTAATAGACCCTAATCTGACAACCACTGTGCCAGGTTAGTCTCGAAAACAATCCCAGTTGACCCCAGGGGAAGGTGTTGTTCCAATGTCCTCGGCTTCAGCACTTTGATTTTACTATATGAAAAATGTTTGATTTCTTTAATCTTAGCCGCCTCAAAAAAAAACTGTGTGTGACATCAAACAATATTTCGTGTTCATCAATTAATCTTTTACATACTTGTATGTCATTGCTTGTGTCATTACATAATAAAATTGCTTGTGCCTCCAGATTTTCTGTTTTCGAATTTATTCCTTATAAGTTGGTTTCTCAGTGAGATGAGATGAGAACAAACCACAAAAACATAAATGCTTTAACCGAATTTTGGACCATAGTTTTCTTTTCTTTTTAGTGAACTTTACTAATTACAACAACCCTCTCGAAAACTATCATTAAAAAATGATCCATCCGCCCTTGTTTTTTTTTTTTTTCTAATTACAAAGTGCAAGCACAATAGAAAATTTGTGGAATCCATATTGAATTGGAATTCACTATAATTATTAAGCTAATTTGATTGAATTTAATGTGAAAGAACACCAACAATTTTTGTGATTTCTTCGTCAATTGAGGAGTAAATCAATAATCATTAGATCTACAAGATTTCAATAATTAAGGAAATAATTATGCCTAAAGTAAATCCTACAAAGAAAGTCAGCTATAATACATATATATATATATATGATAATACATGTTAACATTTAATGTTTACATATGAACCTGCTCTGCATTGTTTGACAAAGTTTCCAGTCGACCCGTTGAGGGTTTTAAGAACCTCATTTACTTAACTCTCGTGGTAGGATGTTTTTCCTAGAAAAAATCATTATGAGTGGAGTAATTATTTGCTGACTATTTGAATTCATGTTTTCACAAGATTGTTGTATGCAGTGAGTGAACTCACCTACAATCACAGGTAGCCCAAGGTAGGTACTACTTGACTTTGTGGGTAATATAAGAAGCTTGTGATGCAACTCATTTTTGACTTTCTACTTGCAATCCATTAAACCCATCACAATCTCTTACTACAATATTATTCAACCACATAAACATAGCTAATTCACGAATATGGCAACAGAAACAAAGTCATACAAGAAAACAATTATATATATATATATATATATATATATATATATATATAGTAAGATTTTCCATGGGAAGTTCTGAAACCAATTTTTTAAATGCATTGAGCCACTCACATGTGTATGTGGGTATCTGTATGTATATGTAATAATAAATGACTTGGAAAAAGTTAATCGTTACACTGTTTGGTGGCATGATTGATGGCGTCAGGCTCTCAAAACTTCTAATTTAGCTGCTAAAACCGTTTTTGTGTTTTTAATGATTTATTCTAATGTTAATTATATAACTACCATGTAATAATGCCTACCATGTCAGAAGTCAAATATGCATACAATTATAAGCCTACATTGAACTTCAAATTTTAAAAAACTTCAACCATACAAAATTATAATAATTTCTCAAATTTGGGACACACAGAACAGCCTATGAAGAAGCCAAAACAAATGATAAACTAAAAAGGTCCTTTTGGGGGAGGGCATATAAAAAAAGTGTCCTGCATAACAAACCTATTGTCATTTCTCATACTACCGACCCTTCTACCCACTAGATGTATCTTCTCCGGCACCGCGCTCACCGGAGAATTTAGAATTCCGGGCAAGTTTCTAAAGTTCAATCTTCCCATGAATCAATTAGGTGTGTTCATTTTACTTTTTTTGTTCTTCTTCCATGTCAAAGCACAATCGCCTAGCTCGGAGGAGGATGTACCTTCCCAACAAGCAACCACTTTTCAACCAAGCATAAAAGTCGTGTTTGGTGTCCTCTGTGTCATGTTTGCACTAACATTCATCCTCCTTGTGTTTGCAAAGTTCTGTCATGGCTCATCATCTGTTGATAACAATCGACAAATCCGAGATGGACTGACTCAATCAAGGTCTCGATTCTCTGGACTCGACAAAGGAGTGATCGAGTCTCTACCTTTCTTCAGATTCTCTTCACTCAAGGGGTCGAGGGAAGGACTTGAATGTGTAGTTTGCCTATCTAAGTTCGAAGACACTGAAATTCTTCGGTTACTGCCCAAGTGCAAGCATGCCTTTCACATCAATTGTGTTGATCAGTGGCTGGAGAAGCACTCAAGCTGTCCTCTTTGCAGGGTTAAGGTCAGTGCTGATGACCTTGCGTACTTCGCGTACTCAACTAGTTTGAGGTACTTATGGGAGCAGTCAGAGCGGCGAGAGGACTCAAACATGGAGCTTTTTGTCCAGAGAGAGGAAGACCATCATGGCTCTTCGAGATTTAGCATTGGAAGCAGCTTTCGGAAATCTGACAAGGGTAAGAAAGAAGAAGAATTGCCCATCCAAGTAGATTGTGACAGCGACGAAAATGAAAAAGCTCTGCATAAGTTCAATCACAGGATCATTATGTCTGATGTGGTCCTCAAGAACAGATGGAGCAGCGTGAGTTCTTCCGACCTCATGCTCTTGAATTCGGAGATGCTTAATGCTATGTCAAGCAATAGATTCTCTTCCTTGGATATAAATAATGATCAAATCGCGACAGCAAGTGGTGTTGAAGGCACAGAAATTTTGAAGATCAAGGAGGAGACGGAGAGGAAGAGACTGTTTGAGAGCAGGGTCAGTGAAATCAGCCAAACTGATTCATTGTCATCTTCAGATCTTCCTAACACTTCCGAGTCGAAAATGTATCAAAGTCAAACATCAAGATTTTTGAATCCTAACGCAGAGAGATCGATGTCAGAGATAACAGTTCATCCAAGATTCACAGAGTTGAGCATGAGAAATAGTAATAGAGACACTTCTCTTCCTGAAAATAATGCGAAGGAGGAAAGATTGAGGAGGCTTTGGTTGCCAATTGCAAGAAGAACAGTTCAATGGTTTGCCAATAGAGAGGAAAGGACACAACAGTCTCACAACACAAGACACCCACTCAATGTGTAATTTTGCTCTGTGCATCTCAAGCTTGTTTCAAACTTCTAATATATTGATCACATTTCCATGATTTCAATTGAACTTTTGTTATAAATAGATTTAGTAGAAACACTATACGAGTTTTACACATAAAATCCATAATGTTATATTGAAGTTCTTAAATTTCATAAATTTGTTATTGTGATCCAAGGCAACAAACCCCGTGTGTTACTATTAGATAAATTTTATTTTATTTTGTTTCCTGTTTCATGACAGCATGAATTACTATATACTATTTCTTTGTCCTTGACTGCAGGTCTCTCTCTATCTCTCTATCTCTCTCTCTCACACGCAAAACACATTTATTAAATCTAAGAAGATGACGAATAAAAGACAAATCTTTCACTTATTTAATCCTTAAAATGATAGGTGGTCTTAGAGTACTCAGTCCATGCTAATTTACTATTTCATGGCTGTTCTTGTTTATTCCTGTATTCTATTAGTAGTTCTATGGTTTATTCAATTTCATTGAGTAGGTTGGTTGTTCCCATCTTGGTGATAATATTTAAAGAGAAAAACAAGGATAAGGAAGTTGTCCAAACAGAACAAACATCATCGCAGCCATCACAGCTCCATTTTATAATGAAAATGGACAATCTGATATACATTATTATGTTGGACCAAAAAAAAAAACGATGAAAAGAAGATTGATGTCAGCACTACACACTCATAGGTAGTGTGTCTATACAACATATATCTACACCTATACATATAAATATATTTATATTGCTATTAATTTCAGGATAAAGTTGTGATGTTTCTGTTTTTTTTAGCATTTTCATTTTTCCAATAATTCGTGGAGACAAGGGTATTTATGTCTTTTCGCATTGTGTTAGGGATTGTGGTTGGGTTCATTTGCATTGTGTACATTTTAAATTATGTGGATTAAGTAGTATTTGCATGTGGTTCACTTGTGTGTGTATGTAGTGTAAAATTGAAGTAAAAGAAAAAAGGAAAAGAAAAGAAAATCAGGTGGAACCCACCACTACCTCAAATGTGGTCTTGAGACCGTATTCTTGCTCTCTCATTTTTCATTCTCCCGTAAGTTCTCTCCCTCCCTCTTGCTCTTAGCTTTTCTTTTCATTTTTGGCTTCAAATTTTTGAATTTTCATAACTTCTTCACTTCTTAGTGAAATTGAAAGTCGTTTGAGGCAAAACGTCGAGCACATCGAGCTCTACGCATCCATACCTGAAATTCCAGATTTGGTGCCCTCCTTAGAGTTCGAATTTGAGGACCCATTTCAAGGGTTCTGTCCATTTTCGAGGTAGGGGTCCTTAATCCACTTCCTTCTTGTTTCATTGTGAGTTATATCTCATTTGTGTGATTAACATGCTTAAATTGAGAGCTAATTGTTTCAATGTTGTGTAATTGATGTCTAGAAAAATTCATGATTTTGATTATGATTTGTTCTATGTGAAAAGCATGTTGTGGTGATAGTTTTGTTATGTTTAATGTGTTGATGACTCAATTGATGATGTTGAATATGATATATGCTTAGTTGTGAAGTAATTATGAAATGTAAAACTTCTACATGCTATAATATTGTAAGCTTGAGACACATATACATGTATATGCCATTGGGTTACATGAAATGGGAAAATTCAGTTTTTGAAATGAAAACGGGAATTTTGGGAGAAGAGTTTTTGTAAAATGGTTTTGATAAACCCGGTTGCTACGGGGTTACCAACGGGCCAGAGGTTAATATAGCCTAGAGGGGACTAGGGAGTCGCCCTAGCGTGGTTGAGCTAGCTGGGCCCCATAATGACGCCGCGGGGTTACCAAGGGTCAGGGACACTAGCCAATCCTCATCTCGTGTCGCAGCGGGGTTATCGAAGGGCGAGCTGTATTAACAGTTGGAAAGTATGGTTTTGAGAAATGAAAAATAGCAAGTGACATATCATGCATTGCATTTCACTGCGTTGCATTGTTTACACTTGGAATTGACATTGAAGTTGTTTTAACCCTACATTGCATGATCCCCATTTCCCATTGGCTTATGCTTTGATTGGATTCACAAGGACACAAGATGTGTGTCTTAAGTGTCACCTACTGAGCATATAGCTTACCCTGCTTTATATTAATTTTTTTTTAGGTTTTGGAAAAGAACCGGCGGATGCTAATCCACCTCAAAATTGAAAGTTGTTGGAAGATGATTTTTGCTATCTTGTATTTAGCTATTTCGTGTGTAATTATAGTTTTGGGAATGTAATCTAAGTAACGTGTTGTAAATTACGTTACCAACGTGGTGGTTGTTATTACAATTTGATGTTGAAGTATATCTTATTTTGTACATGAATGTAGTGGCGAGGTGGTTAATTGCCAAGTGTTGGTGTAAGTGAGTTATCACTGGACAGTGAGAAGTGGGAGTGCAATTTTGTAACGACCCTAACTGATGCCAAGAATTTTACAAAAAATTCGGCATAACCTCCCCTAAAAATAGGCCCATCACAACCTGTTTAATTGCATTTTTAACCTGTCATGGCTCAAATTCCGAATTCACGGCAATAGTAGATGATGATATACAATCAAATGACCTTAATAATACTTCAAACTAGTATTACTCTCCCCATTCATCAATAAGGTTTACATGTTATCAAATTCACATCCAAAATATCATCAAATACCTTAACTACATTACATGACAAAGTTTTTGCAAAATATACATATACACCTTCACACTTTTAGTGCTTTGCAAAAATAATGGGAGATATACAAAAGACACAAAAGTGAGCTTCTAGTATCGCTCAAGCTTGAGGTGGGTTGTCGTCCACCGGTTCTTTTCCAAGACCTGAAAAAAATGTATAAATAGTAGGGTGAGCTATATGCTCAGTAGGTGACACTTAAGACACAAATCTTGTGTCCTTGTGAATTCAAGCAAAGCATAGGCCAATGGGAGATAGGGATCATACAACGTAGGGGATCAAATACAACATACAAGTCAATTCCAAGTATAAACAATGCAATGCATGTCAATGACACTCCCCATTTTCATTCTCAAAACCATCACTTTCAAACGTTAATACAGCCCGCCTTTTGGTAACCCCGCCGCGACACGAGAGGAGGATTGGCTAGTGTCCCTGACCCTTGGTAACCCCGCGGCATCATTATGGGGCCCAGCTAGCTCAACCACACTAGGGCGACTCCCTAGTCCCCTCTAGGCTATATTAACCTCCGGCCCGTTGGTAACCCCGCAGCGACCGAGTTTATCAAAACCATTTCACAAAAATTATCATCTCCTAAAAATTCTTCATTTTCATTTCAAGACAAATTCTCCCATTTCATGCATCCCAATGACATGTCCAAGAATGTACATATAATCTCAATATCATGACAATGTGAAATTTTGGCACAATACAATTAAACATGGTCTCATACATCACTTTCAGCAAGTTTACACATGGTAGACATAAACTCAACACATAGGCAAGCTTTTCACATAATACATCACATGTGCATAAACATACATTTCTCTAGACAACGTTAAAATAATCATTAACACAATTAATCCCCAAGTAAAGCATGTTAGCACATAAAAGAGGTGTAATTCACAAAAAACACCATAAAGCCATCATCTATACATGCTTTTCACATAGACAAGTCATAACCCTAAGACATGAATTTTTTCTAAACATCACTTACACCTCATTGAAGCAATTAATTCTCAAATTTAGCATGTCTAGCACAATAAAAGAGCATAACTCACAATGGAACAAGAAGAGAGTGGATTAAGATGCCCTTACATCAAGATTGCACCAAAACCCTAGAAAATGGGTCCTCAAATTCGAGCTCCAAGGAAGGTAGCAAAACTGGAATTGCTGGTACTAGAACGTAGAGCTCGTCACACTCGTCGTTTTGCCTCAAACGGCACCTAAATCCGGCAAGGATTGAGAGAGTAATTAAGGGTTAAAGCTTGAAGTGAAAAAAAAGAAAAAAAGGAAAAGAGAAGGAGCCGAGAGCAGCAATCAGGAGAAAGAGAGAGAAAAAGAACAGAGATTAACTTGGTCTCTTAATTCATTTAAAAGGGACGTGGGTCCCACCTCTCTTTTTCTAATTTCTTTTTCTTTTTTTTTTTCTTTTTTTTTTTTTTTTTTTTTTCTTTTAATACACACCGCACACACAGGCATATATATATAAAGGCACAAACATTACAAATTTTCTCAGAACCAGTCGACATGTGGCCTCCCAAATGTCGACCGGTATCTTGGCAGAATGGTCATTATGGCTTACGTCCCAAACCAGTCGACCGGTATCCATTGTAACTTATGTTCAGAACCAGTCAACTGGTATCCCAAACCAGTCGACCGGTATCTTGGTAGTGGTTTTCCCACTGCTCATATCTCAAACTAGTCGACGTATAAGGAGTATACGTCGACCGGTTCTGCCTTAATTACTAATCTAAGTTCTTAAAAATTACACTTTGACATCATTTGAAGTTGAAATTAATTATTTTTATGACCCAATTAAATGCCATAATTATATTTTTGTCCCAAAAGGACTATTTTACCCCGGACCTCATTTTAATTATTGTGTGATGCACATAAATGACTATGACATCCTTTGGGTCTTAATTTATTGAAATATGGCAAATTACCATCTTGCCCTTTTTGGAACTCAACATTTTAATTTAACGTAAAATTACCGTTTCATCCTTGGGTGTTTTTGGGTCGGGTTAAGACCCGTTTAATGATCCAGATCCATGAGGAGCCGGATCGTTACAAAAGTAGTTTCTGTCTCATTACACATTAGTATGTCAAAGTTTATCTATTCAGCCGTCTCACCATCTTCTTAGGCAATGGTTTAGCTTTTGAGCAATTTGAACTCAAACCCATCTGATTAATTACCACTCTAACGCCTATTCTATAACTGAAGAGAACATTAAGGAGAAGTTCATGGTTGAAATCTTCAAATATTCATTTTTTACCATACAAAATAAGTAATGTATTTGATAAAATTTTGACTAAATTAAACTATTGTTTAGCAAACATTACGGCTATAATCTTTCTCACCTCATCCTTCGCTACCTGGTTTGACAAGAGTCACAAAGACAAATCCCTTGTCATTCCAGAAGTACCCTCCCATTAGGCACATCTTTCTGCACTTTCGAAGGGTCAAAATGGTCATTACATGCCCATAATCATATCCACTCAACTACCAACCTGTGTATTCCTAACCGTTTCTTGAAACTTCCCTAAACATTTTGTTACCTGTGAACTTCAATTAACATAATAAATGGATAAACTAAGCGATCAAAATCAAGGAGGAGGACCCAAAACTAGAGACGTGACCAAACTGAAAGGGAAAGAGCTAGGAGTCTCATGTATGTTGAACACTGAGGTTGGAGCTGTTCTTGCCGCGATCCGACGCCCACCAGAACCCAATGCTCAGTTCCTTCCTCATCCTGATGACAACTACAATTCCTCCGTATTACAGTTATTGAAATCGCTAAGAACCCATATATTTAATCCTCAACAGGAATGGCGAACAATCGATCCAATGGTATATCTGTCCCCATTTCTTGATGTGATACAAAGCGAGGATGTCCCAGCTACTGCAACCGGTGTTGCCCTTTCATCCCTCCTCAAACTCCTCAAGTTTGGGATATTCGATGAGAAGACTCCAGGAGCCAAAGATGCTATAAATTCAGCTGTGACTGCCATTACAGGCTGTCGCTTGGAGAAAACAGATCCAGTTTCTGAAGATGCTGTTATGATGAGGATTTTACATGTTCTGATTGCGATAATGAGACACCGCGCTGCAGTTTTGCTCACAGACCAGGCGGTTTGCACCATTGTCAATACGTGCTTTCAAGTTGTCCAACAGTCAGCTGGCCGGGGTGATTTGCTGCAACGAGGCGCGAGGTACACAATGCATGAGCTGATACAAACCATATATTATCGGTTGCCTGATATAGAGGTAAAAGACGCAGACAATTCTGAATCAGACAGTGAAGATAGCAGTTTGGATTCGAGGTATGGAATTCGCTCTGCAGTTGATATCTTCCATTTCTTGTGCTCTTTACTGAATGTGGTCGTTGAGCATCCAGAGGGATTGGCAGCTCAAAGTGCTGATGAAGATATTCAACTTTTCGGGCTGATTTTGATCAATTCTGCGATTGAATTGAGTGGTGACAGCATAGGAAAGCACCCAAAGCTTCTGAGGATGATCCAGGATGACCTGTTTCACCATCTGATCCACTATGGAATGTGTTCAAGCCCATTAATCCTTTCCATGATTTGCAGTACTGTTTTGAACATCTATCACTTTCTTCGCAGGTTAGCATTTGAATCAGGAAGCTAAATTTTCTCCCAAGTTTGATATGTAACTATTGAAGTTAGAACCAAAATGTCAGCTCGTCTTTGCAGGTCTATTCGTCTCCAACTGGAAGCTTTTTTCTCATTTGTGTTGCTTAGAGTTGCAAGTCCAGCAAACTTAGTCCAACAGCAAGAAGTCGCGGTTGAGGCAATTATAAATTTCTTCAGGCAACCCACATTCGCGCTTGAAGTTTATGTAAATTATGATTGTGATCCAATGTGCTGCAATGTGTTTGAAGATACTGTCAAGTTGCTTTGCAAGCATGCATTCCCCTCTGGTGGCAATTTGACAAGTCTACAGGTCCAGGCCTTCGAAGGACTTGTAGTTATCATTCACACCATTGCTGATAATATCAACAAAGAAAATGATTCAAGCCCTTCAGGACCCTACCCAGTTGAAATTTCTGAGTATAGACCTTTCTGGGAAGAGCAATTCCAAGAAAATTATGATTCGGACACTTGGGTGGAATATGTGAGACTAAGGAAGGCGCAGAAAAAGAAAATTTTAATTGCTGGTAACCATTTTAATCGAGACGAAAAGAAAGGTTTGGACTACCTGAAAATTTCTCAGTTGGTCTCCAATCCTCCAGATCCAAAAGCCTTCGCTATTTTCTTCCGCTACACTCCTAGCCTAGACAAGATCATGATTGGTGATTATCTTGGCGACCCTGATGAATTCCACATCCAAGTTCTCAAAGAATTCACAGACACGTTTGAATTTTCTGGAATGGTTCTTGACACTGCACTACGAACTTATCTAGAGGCTTTCCGGTTGCCAGGGGAATCCCAGAAGATTCACAGGATCCTTGAAGCATTCTCAGAGAAATATTATGATCAACGGTCCTCGGAAATTTTTGTAAGTAAAGATGCAGTTTTTATTCTTTGCTACTCCGTCATTATGCTCAACACTGACCAACACAATCCACAAGTAAAGAAAAAGATGACAGAGGAAGACTTCATCAAGAACAACAGAGCTATCAATGGGGGGAAAGATCTTCCAAGAGAATACCTATCTGAGCTCTTCCTTTCCATTTCAACCAATGCCATTACTGTTTTCAGTCAATCTGTTTCAGCTATAGAACTCAATCCAAGTAGATGGATTGAGTTGATAAACCGAGCCAAACTCATGAAACCTTTCATAATGTGTGATTTTGATCGTCGACTGGGGAGAGATATGTTTTCTACCATTGCTGGTCCCTCAGTTGCAGCACTTTCAGCAATCTTTGAACATGCTGATGAAGAAGCAATCCTCCATGATTGTATTGAAGGATTGTTCTCAGTAGCTAGAATTGCTCAATATGGACTAGAAGACACTCTTGATGAGCTCCTTGCCTCATTCAGTAAATTCACTACGCTGTTGAACCCTTATGCATCTGCAGAAGAAACCCTTTATGCTTTCAGCAACGATATGAAGCCACGAATGGCAACCCTCGCAGTTTTCACCATTGCAAACAGTTTTGGAGGCTCAATCCGAGGGGGCTGGAGGAGCATTGTGGACTGCTTGTTAAAACTCAAGAGGCTTAAGCTACTTCCCCAATCTGTTGTCGAGCTTGATAAAACTTCCACTTCATCATCTGACCTTCAATCACACTCAAGATCAGAATCTGGTGTGATTTTCCCAACTCATGATCCTAAGTTCAGCGTTGACCGCCAGAGTTCTGGCTTGATGGGTAAACTCTCCCATTTTCTCTCAATGGAGAGTGTAGAAGAGTCTTTGAACCTTGGTGTGAGTGAATTTGAACAGAATCTAAAGATCATCCAACAATGCAGAATCGGGAGCATTTTCAGCAACACTTCAAGTTTACCTGAGGAGGCATTGCAGAATCTTGGGCGCTCTCTGATATTTGCTTCTGCAGGGAAAGGCCAGAAGTTTAGCACACCAGTTGAAGAAGAAGAAACAGTTGGCTTCTGTTGGGATTTACTCCTCATTATTGCTTCAGCCAACATTCACAGGTTCTCTGCATTTTGGGCTCATTACCATGATTATCTGCTCGGAGTTGCTCAGCTTCCTATGTTCTCCCCTATCCCATTTGCAGAGAAGGCCATCATAGCCCTTATAAAGATCTGTCTCAAGCTCCTTTCTTCACATCAAGATGACAAACTCTCTGAGGAAGTCATCTTCAAATCCATAAATTTAATGTGGAAGCTCGATAAAGAAGTTCTTGACACCTGTTGTGAGTTCATAACAAAATCAGTGAGCAAAATTATAATCAACCACCCTTCAAATTTGCAAACTCAACTTGGATGGAAGTCAGTTCTTCATTTGTTATCAATTACTGGTCGACACACTGAAACATATGATCTTGGAGTGGAGACTCTCATTACGTTCATGTCCGAGGGGAACCATGTTTCGCGCACAAACTATGCTTACTGCATTGATTGTGCATTTGGTTTTGTCGCCCTAAAGAACAGTCCACAAGAGAAGAACATGAAGATATTGGATTTGATGTCTGATTCAGTGAATTTATTGATTCAATGGTTCAAAAGTGGATACTCTGATCCAGGGAGCATTCCTAGTCTCATGAGCAACACAAGTTCCTCCTCAATAGAAGAAAATTCAAAAGCTCTTAGTTATTCGAACTTCACCATTCACTTATTTCTCAAACTAGGCGAGTCACTTAGAAAAACCAGCTTAGCCCGAAGAGAAGAGATAAGAAATCATGCTGTCACATCTCTGCAGAAAAGCTTCACACTAGCTGAGGAATTATATTTTACACCAATCAACTGTATTAACTGCTTTAACCTTGTGATCTTTGCCATGGTCGACGATTTACATGAAAAGATGTTAGAATACTCGAGGAGGGAGAATGCAGAAAGGGAGATGAGAAGCATGGAAGGGACTCTGAAGATTGCAATGGAGCTCATGACAGATGTATATTTGCAGTTCTTGAAACCGATATCAGTGAGTCCCGGATTTAGGACATTCTGGTTAGGAATACTTAGAAGAATGGATACATGTATGAAGGCTGATTTGGGAGAATATGGTGAGTCAAAATTGCATGAAGTAGTTCCTGAGTTGCTGAAAAAGATGATCGTGACAATGAAGGAACACGAGATATTGGTGCCAAAGGAAGATGATGACCTATGGGAAATTACATATATTCAGATTCAGTGGATTGCTCCTTCACTCAAGGAGGAGATGTTTCCTGAGGAGTTTTAGTGGGCACAAGAGAAAAAAGTATAATTTTGTTAGTTCTAAGCAATAGAAGGTAATAATAGATACTAGATAGTGAGGTAGCCTTCCTTTATCATTTTAGAAAAAACTGTAGCTAATTGACAAATAGAAGCAAGAAAAACAATTTAAGTTTGTTTCATCCTTATTTATCATTGATGCAAATGTCTCATCCTGGACATTTTAACAGGTAAAGATCTATTGAACAATTCTAAGTGTTCATAACTCTCTTGGTTTATTCACATATCATACCCATTGAAGAATTATAAAAAATTTGCCAGATTGTCAGATTTAACATTAATGCACATGGTTCCCCAAATCTCATGTATGGATTCTGAAATAGGTCTTTACCATGCTACAGATACTAGTCTTAGCAACAGAGAAAATGAACTTGTCAAATTGTAACATTATTTAAACTTGTCAAGTTTAATATTTTATATTCTTGATCCAATTTGATAAGGAAAGTTGAATTGATCTAATAATTCAAAATATTTAAAGTGATGGGTTTGATAGTGGATCCAAGAGGGCTCAATAAACCCACCAAAAAAAAAAAAAAAAAATTTGTACCACATTAACAATATAATTCGACTTTGATTGAAAGCTATAAACAATAGATTCGGTATACATATTCAAAGAAGAAAATAAAAAAAATTCATATGGGTAAAATTACACTAACCTATTGATGTCTTTGTGGGTGGTATGGAGTTGCAGTCGGTGATTTGTTGACTCCGTAGGTGGCGAAGAAGTCGAATTTGTCGTAGCAGACGTCAATCTTGTCGTTAGGGTTTCGAGAGGAAATTGGAGAAGGTGCCAGGGACTTATTGGTCATTTTAATATTTATAAATATTTCGTACTTAAATTATACAATGACAAAAGTGTAATTTCCTTTTGGCCGTTAACGGACATTGACGGCCGTCAAGCAGAAGGAGGAGGTAAGTGTTATTGTTTACAAAGTTAGGAGACGTTTCTATAATTTATTCTATTTAAAGAGGAGGTTAGTATAATTTACTCTTTTTTAATTACAGGCACTGAGAGTGTAAAGAAGACCAGTGTTCCTTGTGTGCGTGTGTGTGTGAGAGAGAGAGAGAGATGGGAGGAGACGTAGAGAAGATGATCGCCGTAGGCATCGTTTGGGGCGCCACAAACGCTTTGATGCGTCGGGGAGCGCTCATCTGGGACCAAACCCTAAAATCTTCTCCACCTTCCAACTCCAACCACCGATTACTATCGTCTCTTCAGAATTGGTTGAACCTTCTCTTGATTTGGCAGTACTCTATTCCTTTTCTTCTAAATTTATCGGCCTCCGCTACTTTCTTCGCCATTCTCAGCGACACACCTATATCGCTTGCTGTTCCGGTGACCAATGCCACGACGTTTGCTGCCACTGCCGTGTTTGGGTTGCTCTTGGGGGAAGAGACTCATGTAGGGTTGGCTTTGTTTGGTACATTTCTCATTGTTCTTGGTGTTTATATTTGTATCATGTGATTAGACATTAATTTCTATATTCTATTTTTGAAATTTTTGTTTGCAATTGGAACCCTTTATCTATTCTTGGATAAAGATTCTATTTGGTTGTTGGGAAAATGAGGAAAAGAGAAAAAAGATTGAATTTTGAATATTCTGTTGTATGTAATTTAGGAAAAAATATATATATTCTGTTGTATGTTGGTAATGATTATACTTTTTGTTGAGAAAGTTGAAGAAAAGAAAATCAAATGATATTTTGAATCTTGTGTTGAGGAACCCATTGTTTGGTTGCAGATGAAAATGGAAAGATCTGATGTTATATGTTCCTATTGAATCCTCTATTTGGATCTGAGAAATTTGAGAATGGGAGTGTTTGATGTTTTAATTCCAAAAATATGGAGAAAGCCCCATGATTTTTACTTGGGCCTTTTTGCATTTGTGTTCTAGATTTATAGCTGCCTAGATGATGAAGGGTTTTAATTCTGAATTAGACATTTGGCTTTAACTAACCTTGTCTTTCTTTGGATATATTTATCTGAATTGGAATTGTGATTATTTGTAATCAACACTGCATTAATAGTTATAAAATTCTCCTGTCCTGCCGGTTGAAGGCTTCTCACCATCCCTGCCTAACCATCCATTTGCTGGTTCTCTTAGTCTTAGTTAAAGGGTGTGGGTGATACAATTTGTGCTGATGGGACTTAGGTAATCCATTCAAACTTTCGAGGTCAACTGATTTTATATTTTTAGAAGAGGGTGTCTTTAGAAGTGAAAGTAATCCAGCTTCAAAGTTGACATGGATCCATAAATTTGTTTATGTTATAAATTTATAATTATTTCAGTCTCGCATTATATCTCAAGTTTCTCTCTGTTTCCACATGAAAATTTGTAATTTCTACCGCTCAATATTTTTGTCTCCAACGGATGGATGTAAAAATGCGTGGCTTTGTATAAAAATGGTACGATAAAACTGTTTTATTCCATGTATTGGTCCATTGCTACTGGATAGTTCATATTCAGTAGAGACTAGAACCCAAAAGACTGAATAACCTGATCATATAATCTGAAACAAGAATGAAGTATGTTGTATATTCCCTGGGGAAAAATAATAATAATTGAAGCACGAATTTTTGAAATATCTGAAATACAAAAAAGAAAAATAATTGAAACACAAAGGAAACTTATTCTGTGTTGAAAACTGATTGTAGACCAAGAAATGGAGCAGCAGACTTGTTCATCTTTCCAAAATCACACCAGGATTTTTGTGGCTCTTACTATTGATCCTCATGTTAATACTGTGGTTTAAAACATTCAGGTGGCACTTGTCCACCGAATCGCTTAGTATCTTTGCAGTAGTCATAGATCATGTAGTTATCTCTAACCCACTTCATCTGACCTAGCTTACCATAGCTCAATCGGCTATATACGGGGGAGTTCCACCAGTTGGCAGGGGAAGGGGAGGTGCACTGAATAGTGCTAAATGGCCCATCCCATTTGCAAGCCCTTGCCCTGAAATGACGGAAACTGGCAGTGAAGGGGGCACAATTCCAGTCGATCTTAACAAGGCCACCTCTAGTTGCCCAGTTATCAGCATTCCATAAGCTGGAGTAAACCTTCATCCCTTGTTGATTTGGGTAGGCAATCCCCTCGATCTGATAGTTTCTGAAGACTCGAATTGGCAGACTGTCTATGTACCACCTGAAATAATAGTAATAATTTTAAGGTTTAAGGATTATTTGCCTCGTGAACTTCCACAAATTTAGTATGACAGAGGGCAGGTGCTCCAATTAGGTTAACTTACACAACTTCAGTGGGGTTCCAGTGTATGGTGTAGTTGTGGTAATCGGCAGTTGGGTCAAACCATGGGTGGAATTGCTGCTCTCTGTTTCCTTTCCCTTGAGTATAGATGTTTGTGTGGATAATGTAAGGTTGTCCTGATGAGTTCCCTAAGAACTCGAAGTCAATCTCGTCGTGCTGGTTCCCAGTAGAAGAAAGCTGCCAAAATGTAAGAAAGCAGATTAGCTATTTTTGTGTGCTTATTGTTCAGGCATATGGTTTTTTCTTTTAAGTCTGATTGTTGGAATTGATCAACCCACAATCCTCAAAGAGAGAGATTTTCATAGTACTAGAAAATATATGGTTGTTATCAGGTTACTTCCCGCATGCTTTTGTTGGAGGGCTGGTCTAGATATAATGATATATAATGTATTGAATCATTCTTTGGATGAACAGGATCTGATTAACCATTTTTTCTCCTCCTTCAATGGATTCTCTTTAACAGTTGAAGATGCATATTAAAGCTTCGTCAACAAAAGTAAGGATATTCATCTTTTCGTAAACATTGTATGTTGATGATCAAACTTCTGCACTTACATAGTAGGCTGTGACAGTTCCGGCGGAATTCCCAGGTACGAGCTTGATTAGCATTTCAATGCTTCCGAATAGGAAGGATCTCTTTGATTGGACACCAGAGCCTGAAAACCAAAGCCACAGGTAGTCTTTTTAGAACAAGATTCTTCAACAAATTTGAATCAGCATACCAACTTTAAAGCATTGAAATTACATGGTGTGTAATTATTTCCCCAGTCAAACTCCAAGGTGATTTCATTAGCCATTTTATCATTATTGATTGATTTTTCCTGTTATTAGATTTCACTGTGCATTCATCATAGATGGTATCAGCAACTGAAACAATTTTATGTGGTTTGTATAACCTCATTAGAGTTGTGTCTTATCTCCAACTCTTAGAATAACTTGTGATTTGAAGTGGTGGTGGTTATAACATGCTCAGAATGAAGATTTGTGTGTGTGTGTGTGGAGCAAGTTGATATTATGGAAGTACTGAAAGTATTTTCAATTTTCTAATTTTATGTGAAAATAGTAAACAAATTGCTTTCGTATGCAAGGTTATATACTATCTGAACTAAAATGGAGTTCTGCAATATGGCATTAAACAACAATGAAAGGCAATGGTTGGGTAAATGATAAACAGGCAATTATGTACCTGAAGTTGGATCTAAAACGAGCTGAAGATCGTCGCCGTTGCCGATAATTGAAGAATGTTGAGCACCCCAAGTGAAATACATGCTCTTGGAGAACTTGGCTTCAACTGAACTTGAATGAAATGCAATCGCTAGAATGCAGAGAGCTATGAACAAGGCTTGTACACTCCCCATTTCAACCCCCCCAAAAAATAATAACAATTCTGTTGTTGTATGTTGTTTCCGGACGATGTTGTTGTCGAAATGGGATGGTTGAATTAGAGGTGTTGTGATGGGCTTTTATATAGCCCATCACGAGAAATGAACCTACTAACATGAATTTCGTTTTGAATACTTCTTTCCCACTATGGTCGTGTAATATTTTGACCTTGTCATGGTTTTTGACATTCATATATTATTATTATTTCAAACAAGAAAATCCCAATATAATTTTCAGTTGAGGGAGGTGTCAACTTGCGTTAGTCATTAGGTCTCTGTCAATAGGAAGTAATACGGTGGTCAACACGCTTACAATAGTGCTGTTTTCTGATGCACGGTCGAGATTGGACTGATAATTTCCATCTGTCCAGAAAAAATAAATTGATTTATAAACTGAGTTTGAAATAGGTATATGTGTGTGTATATATATAATTTATATATTTATTACTTAGGGTGAGGTACAGCATAACAGCTGGGACGCGGTGGTGGTAGGAAAATTGACGTGCACGAGACTAATGGAAGTGGTGGCTGGCCAGCTGTGATAACATGTACCATTGATCTCTGGTGGTAGACGTGAACACCTCAAGATATTTTTAGTTTCAGTCTTTAAATTGCAAGTGATATCACAAATATAACAGATACATATGTGCGTGTGTATATATAATGTGTGTTATTCGTCCATTTCAAGTAGCATGACTTGCTTGCTCTTTTTTTTTTTTTTTTTTTCAGGGGAAATTCACTCTGAAATTAGTGCATTGCGTTTGTTTTTATTTTCATTTGAAGTCTCATCATTTTTAATTTGTTAAGGATTTGTAGAGAAAAGAAAAATAGTCTCTACTCATGAAAGGTAAAATTGCTAATTCTCTCTAGAAACTCAAAAATCAAAAGACTGGTGAATTAAACTAAACTTTATTTCAAACACACACCCTCAATAAAAATTCTCATATATAGCATTTTCGGTTGTTGAAAGTTAGTAGAAAAAGATGTGCATCTGCAGAAGTAGTGTTAAACATATTCTCCATGCATTCGGTTCGAAATTAAATCTATAGGTTGAAGACAACGTGAAGTAAGGAACTTCTCTGACCATGTGTCAATCTTGAATTGAGACCATTATGGTACGATCGACAAATTAACGTAGTGTAAACAAAATGTTTACAACTAAATTTACATGTGGTCAAAAACATGAAAGAAAAGAACGTCTTCTTTGATTCGAAATGGCTCTCAATTTGATACTCCAAAGCTTCTTTTCCTAGTCTCCCCGCACAACTCAACTAGTCAGACTGAACCTTCCTCAAACAGACTTCACGGATCATAGGCGAAACGAAGTAGACATCATGTCGAGCTACTTGGGTCAAGAGTTGTGGAAAAGACAACAAATGTACAGCAATATTATGAAAGAAATGTTTGATTATAATCTAAGCATGAATCTTGATCCACATTCATTACTTCGCAGGCCACCGCTGTAGCTGACGTGAACGGTGCAACAACATCGTCCGATCACCTCTATGACCTAATAATGACGCCGGTGCCTTCAATCCCAGCTTCCACCTTGAATTGTTTTCTGTAAGTCAAATTTTTTTAAAAAAAATTATGTAAAATAATCAACTCAACGTAACATTTTTCTAATAATGACAAAATGAGGGGATGAAAATCTACGATAGTAACATAACATAGATGCATAGGAGGAAAAAGAAAAAAAGAAGAACATAACATAGATGATAGGTGCATGGATGCCAGTTATAAACATAAATGGCGTTCGATTGGAGATTCAGAAGGATTTTTTCTTTTTCGTTTTTTTTTTTTTCCCTGGGTTACGTTAAGAATGATTCTTTTTTGTTTTAATGATATTCTCGATCTTTGTTAGGAAAAAAAATTAATAATAATTGATCGTCACTCACTCATACTGATTTTTGGAACAGAAAGATTTCATGAAATTGGATGAATCTTTACTTTACAGTGTTCCCTTTTATTTCAGCTTCGTTTGTTTGGACGTTAATGCTTGATCGTTTTACAAAAAATATATATATATTAAAATTTAACAAAAATAATTTATTCATCAATTTTCGATAAGTTATTTTACATACCCCGTCCGATAGACTCGACCTCAACCTCTTCGACGTAGATCTTTGCCAAACATCGAGAAAGTAAAAATAAAAGAATATTTTACTTGAAAAAAAAAAAAAAAAATTCAAAAATAAGCCTTCATGTGAATGGTTTGATGTGCATAAAAAAAGCTTTAATGATTAATTACTAAAATTGCTCTTTATGGTTATTTAGACTTCATAGCAACATTAATTTTAGTATGTTTCTCATGCAAATGGCAAGTGAAATGCTACTGGGACCAATACTGGCTAGTGATCACATGCACCAAGTATGAGCAGAAACCCTATGTTTTTAACATCTTTCATTCCCATTTGAAATGCTATACTATATGGTGATGGCATTATCTTATAATCTTACATTTCAAAAAAATAAATAAATAAAATAAATAATATCTAATAATCCTGATTTTTGTATTATTCTTCCAATTATATATATATAAAAGTAATCCTTCAATTAATTTTGTTGGGATGAAGGCCTTTAAAAGGATTGAAAGCTATAGTTTGGAAAAGACTTTTGCTGAATTGACTTTGAATTGATTTTTCTTGTCATTATCATAGGAGCTAGGCATACATTGTTATGATTATTTAGGGGCTGCTCTCACATTTTACATCTTTTTAGATTAATTCTTCATGGTCATCTTAGTCTTTTTACCCCGTAGTGATTAATTATTAACGGATAAAATCTCGCCAATTAACATGATAGCTTAAAAACATTCATTAGTGCTATTGATTATATATTTATTCGCCTGTTATTAACATGGTAGTGTGACCTTGGTACTAATTAAAAAGATTTTTTTCTTTAAAAAAAAAAAAAAAAAATGAGGAAAGAAACAATGTTGTTTCAATAGGGAAAGGACTCTTATGAAGTGGATGCTCCGGCAAAAAAATCCTCCTTGTTCTCTGATGATCCATCCCATCCATCAGATTTGGGATATTTCCTTATTAATCATGGTCAAAGTTCGAAGAACCTATGTGTAGGTGCAGTTAAGAGGACGTCTGGCGTACAACCCTTCCGAGCTGTCTAAGGCCATAACCTTAATTAGACCATAAACTGTTTTTAAGTAATTATCACTCACCTTAACTTTGGTCTCTCTCTTATCCTATTGCTACTCTCAATGTGGAGTATGTCATTCTTCCTGACCCGTGCATCTAAAGTTGTACTTTGCACACGTCCAAACCCTCTTAATTGATTTTCTCTCATTTTATGTCCAATCTATGTTGCTCTAGTTATCTCCCGAATGTGATCATTTTTAGTTATATGCAACTCCATCTCAACATTAACATATTTCTTATTCCTTCTTGACAAACACTTTGCATTAAACTAAAAAAATGAAGATGATAAGCAGACCTAGCATTGAATGGATCCATCCACCAAAACACTGTATGTGCAAGTGATCATGCATGGTCAATTACTTATATTTTTTTTTTAGTTAAGGGTAAGCTTGTATTGGAGATAAAAGAGAAAATACATGGTGCCCTCAATGAGGGAAAAACAAACAACAAATAGGCCGAGGCCATGAACGGAGCAAGCACAACTATACAAAGCACAACTACCATTGAACTAAGGAAACTACTAAACTAGCTGGTACTGCAAAGCAAAGAGAGAGACCCAAAGAGCAGCTGCTATGTGGAAGAACTAATTAACAGCATATCATTAGTCACACTATTAATTTGTCATATCGCCAACACTAATTCATGTCATCATATGCTAATGTTAGCGCGCTATCTGAGTTATAATCTGGTTGCATTAAGTAGGGTGTCATGATCTTCCTCCCAATTCGATCTCCATCTTCAAAATAGGGTTTGATCACCAAATATAATCAATCTTAAGACGTACTCAACTCAAAAGTAATACAAACGTTTTCCTAGTGACTCCACAGTCTCTCTGTGGAAACATGAATGATTTGACGATTTGGAAGATTCCCCTTTATTCTAATCATCTTTAATAAAGTTAATACTATTGAACAATAGGAGCTAGTAAGAGAATAGAAACATTATAACTAGGACTCATGTATGTATGAAATAAAGTTACCTGCTGTAAAAGTGAGCTTATTACAAACTAGCCTTTTTTGAAACTCAATTGTGGCTTTTGTTCTCCGGTTGGAAGTTTTCGCGGCTCTTAATAAAATGAGGCTTGGAGAAATAAGAAGAAGAAGATCGAAGAAAATCTAGACAACAATGAAATTCTCATTTCTTAAACATTTCAGAATATGTTACCAGAATAATATTTCGTTTTATGCAGAAACCAGTCTTACACTCCCGAATGATTAAACACAAATCCATGAAGTTGCTCAATTTTTTTTTTAATTTTTTTTTCCTTTTTTTCTTTTTTCAACTTATCAAGTTCAAACCATTATGTTGAACTGCATGTCAAATTATAAACAAGACAAATAAAAAGTGAATCCATACATTTGAGTGGCAGAAATGATCTGCAGACTAAAGTGAAAGTCTGAGCTCCAAATCGAGTTCTTGATTATCACTTGATCCCGAATTCTGACTGCTTGAACCCATTGAATTGCTCCGGTCTTTCTTTCTCTTATCGTCCAATGAGTCCTATGAAACGAATTGTGGAAAAGAATTGTCATTATCGGATGAGAGTACTACTCTCCTTACCATTAGATGAGACTAAATTAAGAAAATAGGTATTATGTATATACCTCAACTTGTAGATTCATCAGGAGGTGTCTAGTCATGCTTGGTTGTGCAAAATGTTGGATCTCTAAGTTGCCATTGCCAGGATTGTCCCATCTAATAATTGAATTTCGATCATATATGGATTTAGAATTAATCAAGAATATATACTTAAAAACTAAATATGGACAGAAAAAACAAGAAATCTAAGTTGTCGATCAATAAAGGCCCTTACACTTATAAGAATTTAGGTTAGGAAGTACCTTGCTGTAGTGCTAGGTTGAGAATCTCCATATCTCACATTTGTTCTTTCGCCCCATCCCATCTGTAACACAAGTCAATTTTGAAAGATAAATTGTTTTTTTATTTTTTATTGTCACTGCACAAATATGTAGGAAACGAAAACTATATAGTAAAAATAAATAAATTCAATCTAAATTAATCTCTCTTCTTGCAAGGATGGTGATGATGATATTGATGAAACACAGTAATGCATAACTCGCCCAATTATTAGTTCGGAACCCTTCCAAATAAATTGGAAAGGGTCTAATTGAAAAGAATTCTGTAAGTTAAAGGAAAGAGAGTTCAATTTCAAAAGAAATTTTGTTCATATGGTAAGAAACTATGTTGATTAGAAGGATATATATATATATATATATATGACAAATGATTGTAGTTCAGATGATGATGATAGACCATTTCTTTATTTTCAAATGGTGATGATGGACCATATCATTTAAACACAAGCATCATAAAATTGATGTATAATGCACCCTAGATCTCTCTCTCTATAAAAAGAAGTGTATGAAGTCTGAGATGTACACATGAAGTATGTCATCAAATTAATACATCAATTAAATGAAGGTAAAAAGGTAGGATACTATAAGATGGAAATTTCTTCTGTAGAATATCTTTTGAGCTAAAATGGCTATATACCACATACCATGATATTATTATTCTGTAGGCCATGAAAACCATATGAATTAGATGAGGAAGATGATGATGGTACATGTGAATAAGCCATTTGCTGTCTCATGTCTTCCTGCATGATTTTAACAACAAAGAAATTCTATAAATCCAATAATACCAAGTCAACACAGTATATATAAAACTAGAGATAGAGAGAAACCTGGTTGAGGGTGGTGGGGTAAATAGTAGTATGAAGATGAGAATTAGGAAGGTAGTTAGAAGGTATTTGGCTATGGAGTCTGATCTTCTCTAACTGAGCAACACCAAGACCTCTCTGTGGTTGCTTCGGCTGCTTGTCTGAATTGCTCTTCTTGCCTTTCCTTGCAGATCTTTCATTGCCCCCTAGGTTTGGCTCCCCAAAATAACTGCTACCCATCTCCTCTCTCTCTCTTCTTTGATGTTAGAGAGAGAAGAAGTAGTCTTTGATATATATATATATATATATAAATCTCAAAACTTTATCTTCTGCATAGTACTATTCTGCAACAGCTAGCTGCTTTGATTACACAAATCTTCAACACCCTTGTAATTAAGCTCTGTTTGCACCACAGTAAATATTGCATCGCTGGATTAGATTGTATTATAAATTTTTATATATGATACACCTATATATAGTTAGATTTTATGCTCTCTTGGCTTACTTTGAGAATGTTCATACATTTCCTTATTATTATTTTTAGATAAATTACACTGATTTTTTTTTTAAAATTTTGACAAATTAAACATGATAAATCATTCCATGTTTATTACTTTGACCTTCCCTATATCCATTCACCCATTATCAAAAGGTTAAAGTGTAAAAAGTCAATAATATCCTTATATTATAATAATATATTTTTTTAAAAATATTTGTTAATCTGAACAGTGTGTGTGCCCAATGAAGATCAATGTAATTTATCCTATTATCTTTTTATAAAAATGAATGACAAAATTGTCATTGTATGATTTTGATGAAAAACAGTAATGCTATTATTCCCTTGATGTTATATAATTTTTAACATATTATATTTATTTCTTTTCTAACGGAGCTTCCAGGCGCCTCATGACGGACGTCACTTGCCCTTAGTTTATTATTGATCATGTAAGATTATGGCCAAAACGGGTCCTGCTTGTCCGGTGGCTTTTCAGTTTCATGATTAATGCTTTATTTAAAAATACATCAATTATAATATTATATATTTTCCTAATTATAAAATTATATAAGCAACTTCTTTAGAAAGTAAAGAAGAGTATGATGTTGGACCAAATCACATTTCACGATAGATTCTAGAAATCTTATGGCAACTTCACAGGGATTATCAAAATGAAATTCTCGGACTTGTAACTTACTAAATCTTATTTTATTTGGAAAGTTCATAAATTTCTACTGCATAGGTTTAAAGTATTAATAATTTATTTTGATAAATGATTTCAATCCTTAAAATTATTGTAGCCCCAAAAAGGACCATACTAAATATATCCATCATAAAAGGTAATTTTATTTTTGTCAAAACATCGCAATATGCGTGTATGGATATATGTGTAATTGTGAGTTGCCATTCACCAAATCTAACATTAGCTGTTTCACGCATGATTTGTGGGTCATATTTCATGAGTTGCTGTGCTGTAGAAACTGAGAATTAATCCTCTCCATTATTAAACAGACACGTGAACTTAAACATATATTAAATACCAACTAATTATCATATCAATCCCTCAAAGCATATTATCTTTTTAATTTTTTATTAGTTGGTGGATTGGCCCTAGGACTTGTCACATTTGATAGAGGTAGTGAAATAGGAAAAAGTTATCATAAAAAGTTGACGGTGATGAATGAAAATAAAATTTATAGGTACAAATTTACAATTGTACTTTGGATGAAATGTCATATGTATGATTTGAAATAAAATTTATAAGATCCAATTATATTTTCGTAGAGGTGGAATCCTACGTAATACATCACGTTTTCAACGGATCCCAACTCTTGCACACATAAACATTAGTGTATCAAAAATCATGAGGTCATGGATGATGCGAAACTAAATCTTGATCCTCAATCCACCATGCTGTTGAGAATAAATTAGTGTTGGGACATTAAATATGAATATACTATAATCTATACACACACACACATATATATTTGACATATATATACACACACATGTATGTCGAGGGATGGTGTTTATAGTAAACTACGCGGCAATGTGATGAACTGAACTCCGTAAAAAAATATTGTTCTCACACACCATATGTTAAATTGATCAATACTAAAAGATCTTAGTTTGCTAGGTAAGCTAGTTTAATTATTATAGACCATATTTTCCCTCAATTTTTGGACCGTCTTACATAACAATTAACAACAATAATAATTTAAACATAAGTAATGAATGAAAAGGGTCTTTTGAGTGTGACAATATACAACTAATCACAAGCCAAAGTCAAGACGATATGGGTATTTTCATTAGTCAAATTGCTGAACCCAATCCGTAAGTTTCTTATTAATTATAAAATACATTGTCTTCCATCACTTCTTTTTCATAATATTTTATTGCTTACAACAACAAAAGCATTAAAACTTTGACATCCTAAAATATTCAAAACTCTGTTTCCTTGTATATATCATATATAATAACAATTTTTGATTTGTCACGGCTGACTGACTAATACTAACTTGCCACTTGGATCAAATTCAGTATATAATATAAACATCAGCTAAAAGTGTTTTACTTTTTTGTCCAAAATGATTGTGATGGAAACGTGGGGCTTGCTTGGTTTGTAACTCTGAAAACAGTTCTTAATAATATAGAAAACAGTTTTCGAGTAACAATAAAAAATAATTTTCTGAAAGTATATCTTTTTATAACTGAATTTTTAGAAATTTGAACCAAATAGAGTTTTTTGTACAGTTTTTTGTTTTCAGTTACAAAAAATTGTTCTTAGAGTTACAAACTAAGTAGACCCATAATATCTATTTGGTTCTATTTTTTATTTTTTATTTTTTTAAAAAATAAATAATAAAGTTACTCCATTATAATGAGGTAAACTTTAGAGTGTGACCGTAATGTTGCTTAATTACTTGAAACTCACTATTTTTAAATAAATAATTTTTAGGTGCAGAGATAAGATTATGCACGTATCACAATCTCTAAATTCCCTAATTGTGAAAACTTCTAAGTTAAACTGTTTTCTATATATATATATGTGTGTGTGTGTATTGTGCGTTGCGATTTCTGGCCGAATAGCCGAACGCAAACGCACGCCCCCATCACTTTGAAGTACATCCATCCATCCATCCCCATAAAGCAAATCGACCTCAATTCTAAACATTTTAACATTCTCCTATTGTATTAATTATATATCTAAATTACACAGTACAAGTGGACTTGTAAAAAACCTTCTTTATGAGATTTATGTGTCCTCTCTTCGTCTTTGTGTACCATACCACTGTGGTGTGTGTACGATTATACTTTTATATGTATCTCAACTTTCTGAATTAACTTCTAAAAAAATTATACAAATTCTTGTAAAAGGATCATTGATCCTTAAAAAAAAAAAAAAAAAATCCCATAATTAACAATCAATCACATCTATGAATATACTTTGTGATCTCTTAAAATGCATTATCCTTGGCTGAATTAATAATTAAGTGCATCTATTCTGATTATATATATATAGTTTGGCAGGAACTCTTCGCACTGTCCTATATAAGACATGGTCAGACAACTTGAAACTTGTAAATTAACTCAATATTATTCATAAAATCAAAGTGATATAAGGGCTAAAATTTCTAATACTGACATTTTTTCTTTTTAATCCATAATGTGTTCATAGGTAACCAAAAAAAATTGACCTGATCCTTAGACTTTGGCAATGACGCGCATACTACACAAAATAGTGCTATATACATTAAATGTACTCATATAATTGTGACATTTTTACAAAATTCCAGATAGAAAGGGAAAGAAAAAAAAAAAAAAAATTTATGGAAGTGACCATGGTCATCCATTTGCTCAACTCCACAGTAAATTGGATTAGAAATTTTTTTGGTTAAGAATTTGGATTAGCAATTTTCTAAAGCCTTCAAATGAGTTTTAACACTTAATGCATGTAGACACTTTAATGAACATATTAATGCATGCATGATTGCTCATTTTGTTCTCTTTTGTTGTCTCTAACAGTTCGTTAACTTTAAGATTACATATTTCCTGCACAAGAACGATAAACTAATTATATCCACAATATTTGCATGTATGCAGAGGTATAATATATATATATATATATATATAAAAGGTATCTATTATCTTGCAACAGCGTGTGATTTGGTGGAACATGTGGGTATATATATATATAAGTAAATATATAATGTTTTGGGTAGTGCCCAAGACCTCCAAACTTAAATTAAGCTGCATTATTGAGTTTCAGAACCTTATGGATACTATATATCTTTAGGTTATGATGCTGAGTCATAAAATATTAGTCCGAATCCATGTTTAGCCAACGTGGAAGATTTTCTTGTGATTAAAGATTGAAAATAAATTGAAGAAGGTGTTCATACAACTGGAATACGACCTTGAAAACTACACAGAGAGAGCCCTTAACCCACATGTGAAGATGCTATTCATATATATATATATAGCTCCATCAACACTTGGCTACTTTTAAGATATTAAAATCTATAAGATCGAAGAAACCCTAAAAAAATCCCCATTAATTCATTACTAAGAAAGACAATATTAATGGATTTGGTCTCCCTTTGTCTCCCACTTCTTTGAAAATATCACTCGATCGTTAGAACCAACATCCCCCACTGCTCTACAGATCTTTCTTAAATATGATTTGGTATTTCAATGGTTAATTAATTAACTGATATGATTTGATATTATTATTGATTAATTAACTAATAAGTACGTACAAGAATATAAATTCTAAGTTTGAAACTAGTTACTTTGTGTAATTCGATGCCAGACTAGCTTTGATTTTCTTTCTTGTCTAAATTATAATTTTCAGATCTCTAGTCCTCCTTCCGGTCATATCTTTGATTGGTAAGTCTTTATTAATTGATTGAAAACAATAATTCCATGTATTAGCTTGATCGCCACTTTAAATGTCTAATGTGCATTGTAGATGATTAGCTTAATATTCACTTTAAATGTTTAATGTGCACAATATAATCATTCTTAATTATATTGCATATAGTAATGTTAATCACCCGTATTAATTAGAGGGGTGTTGGATATGATTTCAATGTACAAGTAATTTAGCGGGAAAAGAGGACGGTCTTCGTAAGTTAAATAATGCATGCATTGACGGTGCATATCCATGGTAAAGAAATTTTCCTTTTTTTACAATTTTAAATTGTAGGTTGAGAGGTTTTCCAACACAATAATAAATTGCTTT